GGCTCCTACATGCTGAAAAAGTTGTATTCCTTGCCATTTTTCAAAAATAATCATGGAACAAAGGGAGATTTCCACATATGATCAAGTGGTGTATCTCTGTCACAAAAGCTCAAGATCAATTTTCCAGGTAAGTACTCAATAAAAAACTTTGCACGCCAATTACTTCAAATGACACTCAAAAGCTCCTGCATTGAAAATTTCTGTTAGTTGCATCCTTATATATCTGCCCTGCTTTTACTTCCTCTCAGCTTTTTCTAACAAATAATTTTATTATTCACTCTAATTTAAATTTTTAATTATTATTGAGGCTTTGTTGCTTACTCATTTAATGAGCTTTGGAAAGTTTCGCATGTTCTCTTTCTTAAAAGCAAGCTGACTGCACTGATTTTTATACACTTTTTAATGCACGCATGAAGACAAAGTATTTTGAAGTATCGTATTTTTAAAAAGTTTTTCTATAATACTTCTGCACGTATATCTGTTGATTCGAACCTCCTCTTAAAAAGTCTACTCTATTTGTTCTACTCAGCCCGAAATTGAGTTCATTTCAATTCTATTTTGCGGTAATGAGTGCTACAGCAGTTCAAAAATTGTCATCCTAAAATTCAGGACGAATCTGAAATACACTTGCCCCTGAAATGAAATTCGTAGGTAGATTGTAGCATGTTTGATTACGTGCATATATTTAAAAAATGACAGTGGTTATCGTTAATTTATTTGAGACATTTAAAAACTTTAATCGGAATTGGAAAACATTTAATGGATTTATATTATTGAATCAACGTACAAGTTTTACTTCCGCCTAGAGTATTAACCGCAGGAGTAATTCTCGTTGGATCCTTGTCTTGGGGGCATTAGGTATTTTGTGGTCAAATTTTTAAAGTAATTACCGCGATGTAGTGCAAAAGTTCAGAATATTCAACTGCAATCTAGCATATTACAGTTAATTTACTTTTCAAAAGGTCGAGATAGAATAAAGAAAAATGAAAAAAGATACCCTTTGTACGGTATCATATCTTACTCTATGAAATAAGGCTCTTTGAGGGAAGAAGAAAAAGAAATCCTTACCGTTGTATAGCGATGATCGTACAATGTACAATACCAATCTCCACATCCCTCCTTAAGCACAAAAAAGTCACCACTCATCATCAATTACCACAATGATACTCAAAAATGTGTTTTGTGATACTGATGTTCGGCATACGATCAGTTTGAAAACCCGCGTATTATACACGCACATTTTAGCACTTTATCAGGGGAGTCACAGTTTTTGATTTCGAAGAACCTTTTTAGCAGGTATTAAAAGGAATAAGTTATAGAGAAGTCCAAAATATATACTCTTCTGAAACATTACAATTTGCTACTCTCCCACTATTTCAACCGAAAAAATGTGCTTTAGCTAGAGACTAGAGACCTTCGAGAAAGAAAAAGGGGTTTGAATGGACCAGGGCCGGATTTACCTACTTGCCGCCCATGGGCCGCCTGTATTTTGCCGCCCCCTTCTCATTCGTTTTGAAACATCAATAAAAACGAACAGTGGAGGGGTGCATAAGACGTGTTTACTCGTGTTGGACACCTTTTTTGCGAAAGCCCTGTCAACACTACTACCAAAAATTCACGAAACTTCGCGCGAATGTAAGTTCCGTAAACCTGTCTCTGTGTGGACAAGGCCTTCTATTTATATGGAATAAACGAAAAAATTATAAAAGAACAAACATAAATGTGGTTTAATGATCTTAACTTCCGCCGCTGCAGCGCCGTGTCGCGCTGAACAAACATAAATGTGGTTGAATGATCTTAACTTCCGCCGCTGCAGCGCCGCGCCGTGTCGCGCTGTTGTGTTCGACGCAATGCGTGAAGTATTCATGCAGTTATGTAGGCGCTAATATGTGTTACATGCCGACCGCTGCGCCGAGGGCTTCTCCTTTTCATCTCAAGTCCTTCGTCATCATTGCTCTCTGCGCTGCGCCGTTCCAGGCCAAATTGCGTGTTTGATTTCTCTATTAACTCGACTAATTAAAGGTGCTGTCTCTTGTATCACCAAAAGATGGCAAAATTAGAAATTACCATATTCTCAGAAAATGAGAGATTTTGTCGCCTTTCCTCGTTTGTATTTTTCTTTTCTGCATCCGATTTTATTTTTTTTTATACCCGCACTTAAAAAAATTTGTAAAATTTGCCGCCCCCTTATTAATTTGCCGCCATGGGCCGCGGCCCATGCGTCCACCCCCTAAATCCGGCCCTAGAATGGACAAATAGAAAAAAGTAAAATGCCACGATAGCGGCCTTGGCTGTAAAAATGTGTCTGGAGATTCCTCGATGCCTCAATTCTTCGCAGCAGTTATGTCCGCAATCCGAAGATTTGAAGTTACCTGCGTTAGCTGTCAAGCCAGCATCTATTAATCGCCGGATACATTTTTAAAATCGTATTTTTTCCTGTGAAATATAAAAATCTTCAGTATCCGAGAACCATATGGACGTATTGCTGCCAAACGGAATTATAGACGAGCTGTATAAGAAACAGTGTAAAATGTGGTGTGATTCCCTTTGGAGAAATGGGAAAGCGGAATTTTATATTCTGTCAAACGGAACCATGTGTTAACCGAATGCGGCACTCATGAGCCAGCATGTGACAAGAGCGTTGTTGACAGGGCTCATGAGTTATACTATCGTGTAAAGGAAGAGCGCCGTATGAGCCTTCAGACGTTGCCAAGTTTCGTCCCATAAAACTCTAATTTACTGGGAATATTGCGAATATTATTTTCCAAATATTTCAGACAATTTTGTACGAAATTTTATCTAAAATATCTGAAAATTTCAAGGAAAAATATGCACGAATGTTGTCAATAATACACGTTTCATTAAAGGAAATTTGGCGACTCTCGAATGTTCATACGGCGTTTTTCCTAAGCACGGCAGTGTATCGACACGTCGTCGTCGTTGCCGAACCCCGTCATCGCCCCTGACGTCACTGGCGCTTTATAATGCGCATTCATTCTTACGGCCCTCGACTAACGGGCACACCCCTTCTTTTCCACCTGTCTCTGGTTCCGTTTGGTAGAAATACGTCAAATTAAATCGTTTTTCCTAGGGAAAACGAACAGGCTCGTAAGTAACTTGTACCAAGTGTCCTCCGCCATTTAAAGCATGGACCAAGATGCGGATAAGAATCTTAAAAACTGAAATTTCATAGATTAATAAGAGCTTCCTCATAAAAAAAAAGAAAAACAATTGAGGTTAATGTATGTAGAGAACCCTCGCCAGGTGATAATAATTTCCTAATTTAAATGCAACATAACACTCATTCCCGGAGTGCTAAAAGTAAGGATTTGATGATGTAACATTATCAGTTTAATCTAACCCCGCGGATTCTCGTTGAAACTTTTGAATATAGAGATAACTTCCCATCAGACGCCATACTGCGTAAGAAGTTGCCACTACGTCGATGAATGTTGGCTGGACCTCTCTTTCAAAAGGAATACATTTTTGGCTTTCCTATAACTTTGTGTACAAACTCTACCAAATGGACAATCGAAGGAGGATGATACAATATTATGCACTACCATTGTGAACCATCCTTCTTGTTTTTCTAAGAGTCATGACAATTTTTACTAAACAAATGTTATGAGCAACTAACAAGCACGACTTTTGTTCGCCAAAAAAAATGTTGGTTCCTATATTTTAAACTTAACGCATTTGGCCTCACATTCAATCGTTTTCTTTCCTTGCACATTACAGTTCTGAATGAGGGATTTTTTCAACAGAGCAAAATCGGAGATTCCAAGAGATGACATCGGGTTTTTTTCGATCTAAGAAATAGAGTATGACAGAAAGTCTGCAACGTCGCAAAGCGAGGTACGCGGTTCCTCGAGTTTCACTGTATGTAGACGCTATTACTGGTGACGTCACCATAAGAATTCTCCATTATATCGAATTTGATCCAAAAATAAGCAATGACATAACCTCTTTCAATGTTACCAATGAGAACAAATCGATGTATCGATGGTGAAAATGCAGAAATGCGTTTATCGATTTGCGGCGTAGCAAACTTCCTGTCATTCTTTATTTTTTATATGATAAACCACTGAATGTCATCTCTTGAAAACATCGACGATTTTTCCTCTCTACGTACATAATATTCTGTGAAAATGTCAAGCCTTGATGTTGGTTCGGTCTCCTCTTAAAAATTAAATAGAGGCGAACACTGGAAAAAAAAAAAAACACATTGGATCTAGAGTCCAGACTCTTAAAAACATCGACAAGAAAAAATACTCTTGATTCAATCAGATTTAAGCTTAAATCAAGAACCAAGCATCTTAATTTGAGCGGATTTCTTTTTGATTTAAGCTTAAATCTGATTGAATCAAGAGTCCTTTTTCTTGTCAATGTTTTCAAGAGTCTGGACTCTAGATCCAATGTGTTTTTTTTCCCAGCGGAGATTTCGAAATATTGCAACCGAGGTACACATTTTTGCCAACGAATATAGAAACTGTAGATTGGTGGTGGCTTACGAAACTAGGGGAGCGAGAAAGTAAAAAACGTGACATACATGGAGCGGTCGTTCAATAGGGGGGAGGGGACAAGGCCGACTATATCTTCGTCATAACCTCAAATACATGGAATCTTACGGGAGCTTTTACAATAAATTATTTAGCGTTGAAATTTTATAATCGTTAACTCACTTGATGAATGGCTAAGTTCCATGTCTGGACACAGATTTTCAAACAGTTGGTTCTAAATTTGATATAAGTCCATATTCAGCAACATCCCATTAGAAGTCATAGAAACCGACTATCTTCGTCCTGGCCTAATTGTTGCTCCTGGTATGTTACGAATTTCACTGTTGGCGTAGCATAGGATCCCCCTATCTATAGTTTCTAGATCGCTGATTTTTGCAGTTACACGATCGATGTATCATTTTTCTGAGGCGGGGCATTGAAAATGTCTTTATGGTATATTTAAGTGTTGCAGAAGTTTAAGTGAATGGTTTTGAATTTCAGACGATGACGACGACGACGAGGAAGAGGAGGAATCTGCGCCGAGCGCGGCTCCGCTATCGGCAACGCCAGCTCCAGCGGCAACGCAGGCGGCACTGACGGGCCTGGCAGCCTCGAACGTGGACTACAACTCGGCCGACTACAACGCAGCCCCGGGTGAGGCGCCCCTCTCGAACGACGCCAACGACGTCTACGACGAGGAGGACCAGGAGACGGCGCCCAACACGGTGACGCTCGTCTCGGCGGCCAACGAGGACGCCCCGCAGGAGAACGCCGTCTCGCCCTCCCCCTCGTCGACCGGCGACGACGACGATGAGGACGACGACGACATAGACCTCAGCGACGACGACGACGAGGAGGAGGACGACGACGAAGGCGACGAGGACGACGACGATGACGATGACGAGGACGAGAGCGGAGCGCAGTCCGGCAGGGCGCACCGAGCACGTGAGTCACGAACATCACCCGAGCACCTACCACATATTCCAGGCAGCTTTGGCTTTGTACACAGCAGGGCGCACCCCACGGCCATGAGGTCCGCAGCTTTTAGCTTCCCCACCCCATAACTCAACCTAAATCAGACTAGAGTCCCTTTATAGTAACCACTGAAAATCTTGCTCTTGAAATATTATTTTCACTTAAAACGTCGTTTCTTGTCGACAAAATTCGGTGTCTTGAGTTAAATCCCTAGTAAAAGTGAGTCAGGCAATGTTTCATAAACTACCCTGAGTCTGACTGATTCAGGTTGACATTAGTCTGACATCAGCCTGAATCAGTCTAAATCAGTCTGACATCTGACATTAGCCTGAATCAGTCTGACTCGGGGTAGTTTATGAACCATAGCCTGATGTCAGGCTGATTCACTTTTACTAGGGATCCGTGCGGACTTAACTCAACATCGGTTTTTTGCTTGTTTAAGAAGCGTCGTTTTGTTAAAATCAAGTTTAATTTTAAAAAATGATGGCAAAACAATGTTTCTTTAACTTTAAGTTGAATCCGCACAGATTTAACTAAAACAACCAAATTTTGTCAAAAAAATACGACGCTTCAAGTTAAAATAATATCCTAAGAAATGTTTTTTCAGGGTGAGTCAGAGACGAGAGCTCCTTTACTGGCTCCTTTTGGTTACACTTAGAAGCTGTTACTTTCGGGTATTCACCGTTTCCTTTTGGACAATTATAAGGGAGCACCAGTTCAGTCATCACCCCTTTTCCAGCTGTTGACCTACCTACTGGTGAATGATGAGCTTCGTGTCACGCCACGGGCCGGACAAGTTTCCCAAACTTCGGTTTTTTTTGGGAACCGAAATTCTTAACACGTTGTTAACCATCCACTCATTAGGTAGGTCAACAGTTGAATGTTGGAGTCCCGAAAGTAAAACCCTGCTCCACCATTGTTAGTATACCAGTAGCGGGTATCTTGTCTCTGGTCACAGTCGAGACATGTGGAATCAAGATCTCCTTGGTTTTTGGATTTCAGGCTTCATCGTGTCACAAACGGTCACAAAGATTACACTTATACAGGTTGCAAAAATTGTAAGCTTGAATAATGGGACGGGAAATAAAAAATATTTATGGGAACAAAGGAAATGAGGAAGCGGATCGAGGAAATTAATTTCTGGAATAAGTTGATCAAAGACCACGGTAAACGTAACAAACTGTATTCTTTTTTTGACCGTTAGTGATATCAGAGGCTGATAAGTTTTAATCAATCTACCTGTAAAAGAACTTTAAATGAGACATGAAGCATTCTTCCCCTCTTTTTAGCTGTTTATGACCACTTACTAAAATACTCGGTAACCAGTGGAGTGATTTAAAAAAAGAAAACTATGGGTACCTCCTGTTTAGAGGAGAAAAATAGCGCAGCTGGCCTTATTAACATTCGGTTTACATCAGCGGCGTACTCTGAGTATTTACTCTGAAACATTTTGGTGAACAAAAATAAGAGAATAACAATATAAAGTATAAGGATATACAGTAAAGGATACGACAGAAATAGTATTCCCTCATTGAAAAATGTAGTCCAGTTATCACGATTTTACCACTTATCACGAAAATAAAGCACTTGCGAGACTTTAACGCGGGGGTAGAAAAGGGAGTGGACTTCGTTGAGTTGTGTTGTGCGCCAGAGATAATTGTTACTCATTGAAGAACGTGTTCATTTGTCACAAAATTCATATACTTTAGAGACTTGAACTCATGGGTAGCAAAACAAGCAGAATGTATTGTGTTTTTGTTTGTTGTATTGTTAGCCAGAGATTAACCTACATCGATTATGGTTTTTTCGTTAGCGGAAAGTCTGAGTTGCCTATTTTTGAAGATTACTATTGACGCTAATTTTTCACTTTTGATGTTGTTTGACACTTGTTGTTGTTGTTGAATACTTGTTTGACATTATAAGAAATTAAGTGTATTCTGCACAAGACTTCGATGCGGAAATATGTCTCGCAGTGCTTTTATTCTCATTCCATGTAGTGGTCTACTTTGAGCTTTCTTTTCTTATTTCTTTCTTTATTGACCGCAAAATTGGTCTCCCAACGAGCACACTCCACTGGCCCACCGAGCTGTAAATAGTAAAAGAAATTCTGAAGATTTGATTTTGTCGACGGAATCGTTGTTATTTCCAACTTGGATACGGCAACTGTATATACTTTTTAATTAAATTGAATCATTGTATTGCCAGGGTTGTGCGAGCAGAGTAAAAATGAATGTGTCCACGGGTGACATTTTTTACGCTTTCAGTGGAACACAGAGGTTTATGAAAGAGTCTGCTGTCCTTTTGTGCATGCTAAATTGAACTTTGCTGATGTGCAATAGGTCTGATTTGATCAATCGAACCAAATTATCTTCTGATTATAAATTCCTTCGAGTTACAATTCGCCAATAATGCTATATTAAGAAGATTAAATCTAATAAATATCGAGTCAAATTATTTAAACGAATCAAAATAATTATTCATTTTAGTTTTTTGAAGAATGGTGAGGAGTAGGCAGTAGGACTTTAATTTAAATTGGAAAATATACATATAAAATAAATATTAAGATTTGAGGTTCTTTATCTTAAAATAAATTGATTAACTTAAAAGAATGTATAATAATATATATTTTATTGCGGCTCGGCAAAGTAGAAAAGTTCTCTCTAAAAAAAGAAAAAAAAATTATGAATTCAACTTCTCATGAACGGCTGTTCTCATCTATCTTCCAACGCATTTAAATCAATTATATTTACCGTACTCAAATACTGAAGAATAAATGAAGGGAATTATTGACGTCCTAAGTAATTATTTACCATGGTTATCAATAGAAATAGAGAGAAATTAGTGCTCACCTGCCAAATCGTGACTACTAGTACTGTAATGAGTATCCTCTGTACAGATATTAACACAAGCATAGATATTGAAATGTATACTGACGATTTTAAAATTCACACTTCCATCGGTCTAATTTCGATAAAGTATTTCCGATATAGGTATTTCATGGATGTATCGAAGTTAGCCTCCATTTGAACATAGATTGCACCAGCTCCTTCGTCTAATAACAGTTGTTTTCATTCAGAAAAAGTGCTACGCGTAATGTGTTTGATTCGCTCTTAAAACTGCTCCCATTGTTCAAGGTAGGTTCTCTCAGGAAACGAGAAAAAAAGAAAGAAATGGAAAAGAAAGAGAGAAGAAAAATAAAAATTTAAAAAAAATACTACCGGTGGGCACGTTCACGGAAAAAAGAGGAGGAAAGGGTGAGGAAGAAACTTGTTTTAATGGAAGTTGATGATAAACACACAGCACACTTCAACAATGAAGCTTCGATTTCGAGATGGGGCAGTTGGAAACAGGTTTAAAATAATAATGTGAAAGAATGCATAAGAATCAAAATAACGGGAACGCGGGAAGAAGATATCGAATCTTATTACATTCGTCGCGGGCCAGTCACATGAAGCGACGTATTCGAGGGCCATGTTGTCAAAATGCACAGAAATTAGAGATCGTCAAAATAATAACCTAAGCATACGCTCCTAAATTCTCAAATCTGTTACCGCAAGGATACATCCGAATTGAACATCCGTGATGAGGTCTACAAGAACACGTACCTTGAATTTGGTGTTCTAAAATTTCCACCCGTGCCTAATTTCTCAAGCGAATATTCACTGATATCTTTGTGCGAAAATTTTTAGAGAAACTTGTAAAAAAGCAAAGAGTAATTACGAGGATATACAATGACAAAGTCCAGTTATCCCTCAAAAATTAAAATATTACAGAAAAATTTGCAACATCATCTGTGGTTTCGTGGTTTCACCAAATACTCTAACACATTCTAAAAAATTCTTTGAAGATTTTCTTCTTTTTTGAAAAAAAAAAACCCAAAAAAATATGAAATCGACACGAATTACGAAATAAAGTTCTACTTGTAAATACAACACGCGATAAAATTAATCATTGGAGAGTGCAACATTATTTGACGCAAATAATTGAATAAATCGCAAGGGTAGCAACTGTCGGGCTTTGATGACGTCAAGGCATCCCAATCGTCCTTTTCGAGAAAAATCGAGCTGCTGATGTAAGTAAGTATTTTAGTTTTCATTTCAATCCTAGTTGTTGTATATACGGATGGGTGGCATGGTTTCTCAATTTCCTATCTAATAATAAGACTCGGGAATAATTCAATTACTTTCAAAATTATGAGAAGACAAGAGAGTGACATATTTTTTATCTTTAAGCGGGATGAATTAAAGATAAAAAAGGGGGGTGAAAGGTCTGTGATTAATTTTCTACTATAATAGTCCTGAAGACAGCCGAGCAGAGGTCTCAAGGGGAGGAGCAAATGATGAATGTTGTACCCATGCCGGAATAATCTATGTGAAGAAGGGTAATCTTTATGTGGGGACTACCTACATTTATATAAAAACTGTCTCAGGACCAAAAACAAATACCTCAACGCAACAGATAAAAGGTCTCATGGGAAAATGTGAGAGCGAAATGAGAGAGTTCATTTTACAAATCTTGTTTTTCCTCACCTCACTCTGTAGTTCCTGGTGCTTATATCCTCAACCGGGCAATGAAGTATCAAAGAAAGTGCTAATGCGAGGTTAAAAATGTCATGTATAAATTTTTAAAAAAAACTATATGAAATTATATAAATAAACAAACATTTAATTAAATAAATTATGAGAATAGCTGCTTAATTAGAAAGAACAAAGGTGTCAGAATCCAGAAGTTTCTCTTCCCCTCCCAAAAATTTAAAAAAAAAGCAAAAAATGTTCAGTTGGAGAAAATTCCACTTGAAATTTATTTTAACATTGTACATGGGAGGGAGCCTTCACAGCCTCATAGACTTCAAACCTATTTTCCTCACCATCGGTTCAGAGTTCACTCAAGCATATGATGCCATTAGATCCTTATTGCTGTACACTGTCCAACTTCGTAGTTACTATGTAAATCTAAAGATTCAATCGCAG